ATTGTTAACATAGTACTTCCTCCGTTCCCAATAAGTGATCAGTTTGCCTTGGGTACACCCATTAAGAAAATACTAAATTTTAGACAAGAATAGTTAGTGTGACTAAACTACCCTTAATTAAATATTGCAGAATAATTTAATGTGATGAGTAAAAGACTTTTTAAAAATACGTATATAAAGGTAATTTTGGAAAAACAAATTGAATTTTTTCTTGATTATATAAATGGACACTTACTTTGAACCACAATAAAAAGACAAATCGACAACTTATTGTGAATTAGAGAAAGTAGTTGACTAGTGGGTTGCTCATTCAATTACTTAATTTATTAGGAGGGTATGTGGCATTCTTTAGCCCCCATCTTCGTTCTTGATTAATGTCCCGAATTTGGTCATTACACTTGGTTGACAAAATGATGGTACTATAAAATGTACTCTTTGAGTTCATTTTTACTTGTCTATTATTGACTTTGCACATCCCTTAAGAAATACTTCCTCCGGTCCAAAATAAATGACTATTTGCCTTTTTATTTTGGTCCAAAAATAAGTATCCATTTATATAATCAAAAAAAATTCAATTTGTTTTTCAAAATACACTTATATATGTATCCTTAAAAAGTCTTTTACTCCTCACATTAAATTATGCTGCAATATTTAATTAAGGGTAGTTTAGTCACACTAACTATTTTTATCTAGAATTTAATATTTCTTTAATGGGTATGCTCAAGACAAATTAATCACTTATTGTGAACCCGAGGGAGTATCAATTTTCACGATACGGACTCGGAGATATATAGATATCAAAGCATGTGATAGAAGAGAGAAACAGTGAAAAGATACGTTTTTTCAATACATTTGGCATCTCTTAAAGTAGAATTGTAGCTAGTAAGTTGTCCGAAATTTCCTCAAAGTTTTCACCTTTCAGATGTAATAACTAAAGATATGTTATTTTTATAAAATAGTCAAAACAAGTGAGTATATCCAACGGCTATAAAACATCCGATACAACTCCAAATCAGTGACTGACAACTATCACACACATAGCTTTTAGCTTTCCTTGCTATAAATTAGTTGAGCCTTGCACTATCTCATAGTCTCAACTACTTCTTGAACTTGTCCACACTCTAATTTTCAAGAAAAAAAAACTAAAGTATATAATTTTCATGTACCCAAGAAGAAACACAGCCTCCTCAATTTTGGAGGTGTTTTCTTTAAATCCTTTGCCTTATCCAGTATTATTATTTTTAGCTGTGATTTTCATTTTTCTTGGTATTCAATGGTTTGTTTCATATGAAGAAGTGATGGAGGCTACTGAAGAAAGTTTTGGTTGGATACTTATGGCAGTGCCACTGGTGTTGTTATTTGCCGTCCGATGGTTGTCCACGGTGGACCCGCCAGATTGGTTTTCCGGAGGGTCGCCGTGGGACCGACGGCGGATGATGTATCAGCTGCCGTCGGAAGGAAGCTCGCCGTGGGGGGTGGCTGCTTTGATTGTGTTGTTACTAGTTTTGTTGCAGTACCAGTCTACTTTTCTTGATATGTGGTTCTTATAGTTGTTCTAATTACAAGAGGAATTAAGGATGTGTAAGTTGTATATATGTAACTAATTGTAATTCAACTTCTCTCACTTTTATGTGAAATCATTTTCCTTTACTATTATCTGAGTTCTTAACTGCTTTTCACAATTTTAACCATGATTACGACAATATTATCAATTATTATTACTAATTTTTTTGTTTAACCATTTGATATCTGGGATTTATTGACTCGACTAATTTAGATTAGGATCGTTTAGAATATATGTAAAGTGTTCTCTGATTTAATTTCTCTATTCTCAATGCTCTAACTCTAAATCTTGATTTAGTTTGCTAATATTATTATCCAAATTAACACTTTATAGTTTCTTAATAAATTTACCAATTTCTAGTTTTTAACTTTCCAACCAAACATTTTACAAAAAAGTATTTCTGAAAAAACATTTTTACAAGAATGACTGTCATCAAACCAAATACATTATGAGTCCCTCAAAAAATTTGGTGGAGTGCACTAGAGCTAAAGGTAAAAGTTGATTGCCATTTGGTGGTGGTGTAGTAGAGCTAAATGTAAGGTTGATTGTCCTACTTTTTCATTTATTACTTGATTGGTTTGTTAGTGTTTTGAATGGGCCATCAATCTTGATGGTAGGGTAGAGCAGAAAGATAGAATGATTACTTGTAGACTTGTAGTGGTTCTCTCCTTTATTTGGTGTGGTCTTTTTTAAGTTTTATATTCATTGATGATCATAAGTTTTAATAGATTTTTGTGGTTTAATTCTTCTTTGGACCCAGCACATAGCAGGTAGAGGCGGATTTGGCGGGGCGGAAGGGGTTCATCCGAATCCCCTTTGTCGAAAAATTACACGGTATATATAAGGCAAAATTTGATTTTTTACCTCTATATATTAAGTTTTGAACCACCTTAATACAGCAAAAAATGTAGCTTAGTGGTTAAGGGGTTTCAAAATTTTTCTAAGGTCATAGGTTCAATTCTCACTAATTACAATGTTTTTTAACTTTTTTTTGAACCCCTTCGTGGAGATCCTACCTCTTCTACTAATAGAAGGGGCTTAATGCTGCCCTTTTCATTCATTGATGATTGATGAACAACTGGCCCAAATAAGTAAAGATAAAAGTCGATTCAAATTTTAAGCAAAAAATTGATGAGTTTGTTGAGTCACGTCATTCTCTTCTGGACGAGAAATAAGAGCCTGTTTGGATATAAGAATTTTTTCACCTTTTTTTTGAATTTTTTTTTTTTTAAAATTAGCATTTGGTCATAAAAATTCCAATTTTCATTTGAAGATTTGGAATTTTTCAAAAATTTGAAAAACTCCAAAAAGCTATTTTTAAAATTTTCACTCAGATCACTCACAAAATTTCAAAACAACTCAACATTTTATTCATGTCCAAACACAACTCTAATTTTCAAATACCATTTTCACTTAGAATTTTTTTTTCACTTTTTTGGGAATTTTACAATTCTTATGTCCAAACGCCCACCAAGTTGGTTAGCCTTGTGAATTTCATATAGAGCATTGCATAATTTTTTCATTTTTGGGGGAGAGGGTGGTGAGACATAATTCTGCAATTAATGACATAAGCGGTTCTGGTACATTTGGTTTAAAAAAGTGTACACAAAACTTCTACTTAAACAAATTGGAGGTCATTTCGTTGGTTTTAAGCTCTTAATTAGCGAGTAATTAAAGGGAAAATAGATTCATCTAGAGTTGTCATTTCTGAGGTTTTAAGCTTTTGTCATGTTTCCCAATATTTCCCTTTTTTTTTTAGTCAAACTGAAATGAAATAGATTTCACCATAATTGGTTTCCACATTGAAATATTACGGATTGGAATTATAGAAATCATGAAGGATACGAAATCTTTAGGGCAATTATTGGTGCCAAAGACCTCTGTTAATTCTGAAAGTGACTTATGAGGTCTGATATCAATCCGATAAATGCTCAACAATTTGATTATTCAGTATCGCAACTGCGAATACTAATGGTACCCAAAAGTTGAAAATAAAAATGAAAACAAGCTCTTCGTTTTGTTATATTTTCTTGTTATTATCAAACAATTCATATAGCCAGATAATGAGACACATCCCTAGTATTTATTTTTATATATGTTGCTACTGACTTTAAGCTTACATTCTTTGTACTTCGGTAGTGGTCCCCTGAAATTAAGCTGAGTAGTGGGATACACTGTTCATTACCAAATTATCATATGTTGGGGTTGGCTAAACTTATGGTACAGGTACTTCACTCCATACTTCTTTAAGTTTGACTCCTTCAATGGATAAAAGCCAAGGGAAAGAAATGCAGTATAGCGTGTGTCAGAAGACTATAATATATATCCGTCATATTCTAGTTAGACCTACTATATTATAAGGGATAGAGTGCTGGCCGGTTAAGAATTTTCATGTCTAGAAGATGAAAGTAGCCAAAATGAGGATGTTAAAGTGGATGTATGGGCATACCTGCAGGTTAGATAAGAATAGGAATAAAGTTATTAGGGATAACGTGGGAGTGATCCCGTAGAGGATAAGATGCGAGAGGCGAGATTGAGATGATTCGGGCATGTTAAGAGGAGAAGCATAGAAGTCCCAGTTAGAAGGTGTGAGAGGTTAGTCTTGGAGGGTATCAGAAGGGGTAGAGGTAGACCTAAGAAGTCTTAGGAAAGAGGTGATTCGGCGGGACATGGTGCAACTGGAAATCACTGAGGACATGACCCTTGATAGGAGGGCGTGGAGATTGAAGATTAGGGTAGAGAGTTAGCATGTAATCGAACGCTTCCCTTTGTCTTCTCAGTTCACTAGCATTAGTATTAGTATGATATCTTTTTATTCATAGATTGCTACTACTACCTAGAGTTTAACTAGCTTCGGTCTTATTTTTATCTTCTTGTTGTTCTTACTTGTTACCATTACTCCTTTTCATCCTTTCTCCAGCCGAGTTACTATCTGAAACCTCTACACTTTCTAGGTAGGAGTAAGGTTGCATATACCTTGCCCTCCCCAAACCCCATTTATAGCAACTCACAGGATTTGTTGTTGTCGTCGTAGTAGTCTGAAATCATTGACTTTGCTTTCGCTTGCACAATCCCTAGTTATCAATTGAAGGGTATTGTGGGTAAATTCGTTCTTAAAATAAAGTTATATACAATAAAGGGAGAAAATTTTATTTACAGAACATAATTAATTGTTAGAAACTTCAAATAAAAGAGGTGAATCCTTTGATTTTATCTTCAGGAAGAGTTTGATCCCAGGGGTTTTGGTCTTGGGCAAACAAAAACTGATTTTCTTTTAATAGTGAATATGGTTAGAATTGATTTGCAAAGAATGGTCTTGTTACTTGTCCCACCGTGCTTATATGCAACAGTAATTATTTTCTAAACATGGTTCGTATCTCATGTTGGTAGAATGTCCGAGTGTCCTTTTTCCTTCATTTTGGGAAAGGAGAAGGGCTGAGTAACGTCAAATATATATGTGTATATGATTTCAAGTATCATGTAGCAAGCAGTACAAGCCCTGCCCAATACAAGCAGCCTAAAACTAAGCTCATTATTTTGCTAGTACAGCTCTTTATCAAAGAGATGGATGTAAAGCATGTTACACTGGCAGGAAGAGATGGAAAGACATCAAAATTCCGATTGACAAAACTGAACAATTTAGTTTATTGTCAAGTGTTCCTCGACGTTTATTTCCCATGATCAACCTCACGACAAATGATCAAGCAGCCACCTTCTTAGAAGTCACAGAATTAATAATGGTAGCAAACTCAGGACCCTGCAATGAAGAATATCAAGTATCATTCATGGTGTACCAACCAGCTTAAGGTTAACAAGGAGGTTTTACACAGACACAACTTAGCATCTCCAGACAGCTAATCATGTCATAAAGGCTACCATCTAAACATAACAGTCTATCTAGAACTATAAACATAAAAAGCATCAGATTAACATTTTGGTCCAAGAAAAACTAAAAAATGTGGATGAGCAGTGTTATCAAAGGTGAAAAGCGCAAAAAAAGCTCTAAGGCCCGTTGGGGCTTTAAGCGCAAAGCGCAAATAAAGCGTGGGCTTTAAGGAAAAAAGGCGCAATTGGAGAAAAGGTAAAAATATGTATATGTAGTCCAAGACCAATAATTATAAGCATGAATAACAAATACATGGATAAAAAAATTGGAAAAAAAATTACGATAAAGTAAAATATCAATTGTTTAGTGTCGCCATTTCAGGATTACATTCATTGGCAAGGAAAAGTATGCTTAGAGCCTTGATGCGACATTGAAGCGCCCGTAAAGCGAGGCGAAGCGCTCAACATGTTTTGAGCCTTGCTTCAGGGCTTAAGCGCGCTTTAAGCGCACCTTTGATAACAATGGTAGATGAGCACTGATGATGTTCAGTAGAGCCCAAGGAATTGAAGAAATGCAGCTAGACTAGTAAGATTCACATATTAGCAATAATTGGATTACCTTTAAGGAAGCACCTCCAACTAGAAAACCGTCTATATCTTCTTTCTTTGCAAGGTCAGATGAGTTGCTTCCGTTCACAGAGCCTGTCAACAATGTTTCAGGTTTTAGGAACCCCGGCAACCAAGCCAATGACACTGACATGTGATATATTAACATTTGAGGTGACGAAAAGAGTAATAAGCACAACCAAAGCCCTTCTAATAAAAAAGATAGGTTCTTCGGATTTAACAAGCATTCTGCTGATTTTCTCAAAAAACAAACATCTAAAACAAAAGAAAGGGAAATCTGTTGGCTGTAGAGCACTATTTGCCATTGATTCAGCAAAGCAAGTGGTTTTCCTTTTGAACTTCTAACAACGAGGCATGTTACACCAGTGAATAGGGGAAACCTTTACAATGTCTAATTGACATATGAATGCAATTCAACCTTAACAACTCATGCAGTCATGTGAATAAAACTAAAATACCTCCATATATAATGCGTGTTTTAGAAGCAACTTCTGCTGAAACATTCTTAGTAAGCCAATCGCGAACAGCTGCATGTACCTCCTGAGCCTGCTCGGGCGAGGCAACTTTACCAGTTCCAATAGCCCAGACAGGCTCATATGCAATGACAACACTATCCCAACTTGGTAAAGCGTCTGTGCAGTAAAAAAACAACAATTAAACAGATGTGAAGGAGTAAAGTTTTTGACTGTAATGTGTTTACATCAGATAAACTCATTAAAGCAGGTTACCATATGGATATCCCATCTCTGCTCCCAGCAAGTACTTTTTGCTTTTATAACAATTATATCTACTAATTTCATGTGTATATAGAAAAATGTTTCAATATTAATCAGCAAAACTTGCCTGCAAAAGCCTTCAATTGCTGGAAACAGACATCAAAAGTTTTTCCCGCTTCTCTTTCTTGCAACAGCTCTCCAATACAGGCTATAACACCAACACCTTGGCTCAAAGCATAAGCAGCCTTCTTGCCGATAAACTGCATGAGAATGGTTCAGTCAAGTCCTTAATAAGCAGTCCTAACTCACAATCAGGCATCATCAAAGACGTCGCTAATGCTTACTTTCTTCCACTTGTGATCAAAATTCTTATGTTCTATAAATTCACAAATCAAAAATTCCAGAGAACACTTACTTCATCATTTTCTCCAATTACATGTCTCCTCTCCGAATGACCAAGAATGACCCACTTGCAGCCAAGATCTTTCAACTGTTCTACGCTGCAAATGGAAAATAAACATCATGGAGTGGAGAACAACATAACCAGGATAACAGTAGCGAACTCAAAGCAGATCAATTTCAATAGTTTTGCGGGCAAATGCAGTAAACGATGACGAAATAACGGTTTCAGTTTCCCTTCATTTTTTTGTTATATATTTAGTATGACGGTGGTGTCCAAGCCAACTGGTGCACACATTGACTATTCCACCACGTACCTGCTATATCCCATGTAACTTTGTACATCAAGGCTTAGGCAGATGGGAAGAAATCACCTAAATCAATTGCCCGTAATTAAGCTACTGAATGAGCCCTCTTAACAAGAGACACTGTCCAATATAAATTACTTATCCAAGTATATTCTGGTCTGAACCTACAGAAGTTGGGAAGACTACAACTTAAACTAATCTTAAGAGTCTATCGGAATCAAGGTTTCTCAAATAACATAACAACATCAGATACCAACACTGTTAATCAATCCAGCCATTAGATAGAATAAATTTAGTCATAAGCTTGGGGAAATGGAATTTTACCTGATTTCACCCGTGAAAGCTCCACCTTTTCCAGTCCAACAATTCTGGGCAGAAACCTCAATCCTGTCGGTGAGTGAGTTCTTTACTTGATCAATGTACAGAAATGGAGGTGCTACAACCACATCTGGAAATTTTCCAAAAGTAGATTCTTGCATTAACATCTAAGGTAGATAGGTATTAGCTGTTAAGATGCTACAAAAAATTAATCGCATTGAAACCAAATTGGCTGATGAAGACAAGGAAACAACAACAACAACGACGACCTAGTAAAATCCCACTAGTGAGATCAGGGGAGGGTTGTGTGTACGCAGGCCTTACCCCTACCCAGAGGAGTAGAGAGGCTGTTTCCGAAAGACCCTCGGCTCAAGAAGACAAAAAGAGACAATATCAATACCACCAACAGATACCACAGGAATAATAACAGCATCATAAAGACCAGAAAATAGATGAAAAGCAAAAGTGATAGCCAGCAAATAGACCCAGCACCATGAAAAACGAAAGAGTAGTGAGACACAACATTAACCGCTAGCAGTCTAAGACAAAAATCCTATCAGACTAGCCTCACATAGGTACGAAGTAGAAATAGACTCAACTACCTCCTAACCTACAACCCTAATACTTAACCTCCACAGCTTCCTATCAAGGGCCATGTCCTCGGAAATCTAAAGAAGAAGACAAGGGAAAAGAAAGAAAAAATAGTGAGGAAAGGTGTCCACTCTATGTGTGAATATGACAAAGTGTAGCAACTACAAGGAAGATTCTGAAAGGAGTTGCCAATCTGTGTCCCAGGAAGCTCAACCAACTTTAGACTGTAGGAGAATCCAATTATCCCACGGTCATTGACAAAAAAACATTTACTTTGGTACTACAGGATAAAAACGGGTAGTAACGCAAGAATAGACAAACCGAATGAGAGCAGGAAAATAACTTCTCTAAGATGCAGCAGACGTACAAATAAGAACTAAAAGAAACTCCCTAGTAGGATTATCATCTCTTGTGTCTTTGTCAAGCTTTCTCCTACATAATTCAAGCAAGTTCTTTTAATAGGTGAGTTTCTAGGTGTAATGCCACAAGACATGTTTGTTTCAGAACAAACAGCTGCAATATAATATCGTAAAATAGGACAGAGAACATGGAAGAGGAAATGATATCACGGAAAGTGCACAGTAGGCTTGTAAAATCATAATTATCAATGATAAACAAGGGTAAGGGCATTGTGTTGACATTCCAAATTGCAAACCTACATAATTCACATTAAAGGTTTGCACTTATCTTCTTTACACAACCTTTAACATTTCCTGATTACATATCTATGCAAACATATAAAGTGGCAGTGTCATCTCAGTATTCTTGAGAACAACACAGATATCATCTTGTACTGGAAATCTGAATGAGCATGGCAATGAACTATTACCAAACTAAGATTGAGAAGCCCAAGGTCAAATGCCCTGGCAACTATTATATGATCATAGAGATTATTTAAGCATTTCTCTAATCAAAAGCTGGATTGGACACAGAGACAGTTTGCCAGCTTCCTAGAAATGTTAGCGTATGCAAATACATTTTCATAAGTAATACGACAGCAAGTTAGAAGAACTCACCAACATCAGACTCGAGCTGAGCACTGTTCAAATCAGAGACAAGCTTGCTTATGGAATCCTTTGTCCCATTCTGGTAGAAACATTAATGAATGTAAAGAACACGAAAGACACATGAAAGTTAATCCAAAGACTAGGGAACAAAGAAGTGATACTTACACATTTCCAATTTCCACCAACAAAGAACTGCAAGCAAGGAGACAAGATTAGAACCCAATAGGAAAAAGGCATATAATTTAAACACGTTCAGTATTAGTTTTCTCTTTTTGATAAATACAACAAGTTTATTTATTTATTTTTATAATCCTAGCGTGAGAATCAGTTAGGGCACACCTCGACTAATTACACATGGTACAGGGTAACTCTATCCAACAAGATTGAACAGGTGGGAAGAGTACAGCCACTTTAATTTTTTCCTTAAGTCAGTATTTAATTTAATTTTTTTCTTAAATCAGTTTATGCTTTACAAAACCAATAAGTTAACAAACCAATGATAGATCTAAAAATGTACTCTTCCATCCTAAGAAACACACACACAACATTACCATGCGAAATCAAACAGTTAAAGGAGGAAAAAAAGTTACCTTGCCGGAGCCGGCCATAGTGACGACAGCCCTACAACCTTTTTGGGCTGAAGAAAGGCGGAGTTGAGAGTCCACGTTATGGAAAAAAGCTTGAGAAGTGGAGAAGGAAACAGAGTTTTCAAGCTTGGAGAAAGATTTACGGAGGCCAGAAAATTGTGGGCATGAAATGGAAGTGGCAGATTTTGGGCCGGACATTTGAGAAGCTAGAGATGTTGATGCTACCGCCATTTTCTAGGGCCTTTTCTGGACAACAACAGCTACTGATATTGTACTGTTTTAGCGGCAGCTTCTTCTGCTACTTCTTCTGCGTCTTAACAAAGGTGCCGGTGTTCCCAATATCTATTTATCTAATCACTTTGTCTGGTGCACGCTCCTGTTTCGGAGCGTGGAAAACACGTTCCAACCCAATTTCTGTTTACTAGTAATAAAACATATTTGGTGAGCTTTTTCTTTTGTTTCTCATTAGGGTTGGTGAGGAACTAATGATGATTTGGAAAAAAAAAAGATATGAAAAAGAAAAAAGATTACTACTAATTACTAATACTAGTACTCAATTTGCATCTAGTGCGGAGATATATTAAATACCCCCTCTGTTCTAATTTGTGTGAACTTGTTCGATTAGGCGCGGGGTTTAAAAGAATGAAGACTTTTGAAATTTATGGTGCTAAACAATCAAAAAGGGGTCCAAAGTATTTGTGTGATTGTAAAAGCTTTTCATTAATGGTAAAATTGTAAGTTTAAGCTAAATTATTTTCAAATTTAGAAAGGACTCATTTTTTTGGAATTGACCAAAAAGAAATAGATTCACGTCGGAACGGAGGGAGTATTAATTAGAATATCACGTTCTAGATATCAAATTCAATATTTTCAGATTATAGTACTGTAAACACTTGAAAAAGCTATTGAAGACAACAATATGATTGTTTATTTATTTTTGGTACAATGCACTAATTCCTAGAAGAAGAAAAAGTACTGAGTCTAGTTATTTTTTCGCTTCAAATATCCTAAAGAATCACTAATAATTTCTACTTACCGTTCATTCATTTGCTCAAACTTCTAACTTATCAATTACTAATAGGAGTGTCTTACGACTTCCATAAATGTTATGCCATTTATTCTATAGTTCACGTATACTAATTATATTTTTACCAAGAATCAAGCGTTCCATATATTTCACTCATTAGCTAATTCAACACAAGAATCTGATGAATTTGGTGAATTGACAAATCGACAAGGGTTAGTTGAAAGTGAAGCCTTTCACATGATTTGCACTTATGAACTGGAGGTGAATTTGAATTAATCGAACTTGTCAAATATCGAATACTGAATGATAAAAAAAATAAAAAATAAAAATAAAACTCTGCACTTGGGATGTGAAATCCAATCCCGCACAATGGGCAGTAGCCTTATATTTGCCGGAAGGAGATCAACCTACTAACCCGTTTGGCCAAGCTTCTAAAATAAGCTTATTTTGATAACTGCTTTTCTCAAAAGTACTTTTAAAAAAAAGTATTTTTGATGAGAAGTAGTTAGTGTTTGGCTAATTAATTAGAAAAACACTTTTGAACAGTAATTAGTGTTTGGCCAAGCTTTTGAAAACTGCTTCTAAGTGTATTTTTCTCAAAAGTGCTTCTCAGAAAAGTGCTTTTGGAGAGAAGCTACTTTTTTCTGCTTCTCCAAAACTGCTTCTGCTTCTCCTTAAAAGTTGTTTTCCTTCCAAAAGTTTGGCCAAACACCTCAATTTTTGACCAAAAGTGTTTTTGACCAAAAACAGCACTTTTGGCCCAAAAAAAAAACTTGGCGAAACAGGCTATACACTTGAGCTCGTGCTTCTGGTGTCACAATGCGGAGGTTAAAACTTAAAAATGACACCAAACAGAAAGCCGTCGTTATCTATGCCTAACCACAAATTGACGGGCGGATTCTCCGTGATAAGTCATTAACTTTTTTTTTCTTTTTCTCATGGATATTTTTTCCATGGTTCGGATAATACCAAACTTACTCAATTATTGCCACGTGTTAGTGTCTCTATGGTAGCAACCTAGCAAAGAAAAGACCTCTTATCTATCCCCCCTCTGGTTCGTTTAGCAACTCATACGCAGCCCACGTCCATTAGCAACTAGTAGGTGAATTCAAAATAACTAGAGTTGAAACCAGCTTAATTATCACTAACTTTACCACCCAATTAGCAATGGAATAATGTAAAGGTGTTAACAAGGCACATTATTGACGACACAGCACGAGTAAACTAATTGTGTGTGCATCTCCAAGCCTCCAACAGAAGCACCAGATACTTTGGGACAGTTTTACAGGCCACTGTGAAAAAAAAACTTGCATAAAATGATAAAAGAAGTATGTTTTCCCTTGACAGCAAAAACTGCCAGCAATAGTGAAAGATCTCATACAATCAAATGGCAGTTCAGATAAACCCAATGATGAATCCTTCACATTTGCAGGAAACTAGGGATCTTTCGTACTGATCATAACGGGAAATATATTTTATACTTCTATTGTCCGTTGTGGCCTTTAAGTATGCGGTTAACTGAAAATTCCAGAGAACTTGGCAAGTCTTGACGTGAGATCTTAATTCAAAGACATACCTCAGTCAAACTTATTTCCCAAAATTCAGAATTTAATAACATTCACACTCGGAAAGGATACAGGTTAGAGGTGTAAAGATTAGGTATGCGAGGCGAAGAATGATGGTGAATGTTATGGCATTATGTAACACCAGTACTTTCATGGACAGGAGAGCTAGATTTCCCTTGCATTCTATATTATTTTCCAGAGTCAACAGCTTTAGCCTCCATGTCACAACCCGCTTAGAATTGTTAGGGAAATACAAAGACAAATATCCAAATTCAGAACCCATTGCACCAGCAACAGCTTCCTGACTCAGTATTGTAAACCTTTTGACAAAACAGATGGAGCAGACCAAAGGAGAAGTAATAAAAATGGTAATAACCTGATTCCTACTCTGTCCCAAATGTCAATCATCTGTCTTTGTTCCCCTAACTACACTATTTGAAGAAATGGCCTGTACACTATGGGATGACGAACATCTACTTGACGAACTTCCATCTGTGAGGCTGTTATCCTTCTTTGACATCTTTTTGGATTTCCTTTGTCCAGATGAATGGTCCTGCAAAATTTGCAAGCATGTCATGATGGTATATTTAATTTGCCAAAGTGCCTTTAGGCCATCGAAGATTCCCTGTTTTCCTCTTTTATTGAATTCTCTTTCACCAGCAATAGATTAAGAAAAGAAAGCTTGAAGGATGACGGTTATCATTATAATGGAGAAAGTAAAATCTATGCTTAATGGGCTAGTTGAAGTATATTTTAGTGAAGTAGTTTTGTAGAAATGAAATTGAGGCAACTCAAGAGTAAAATAAGAGTAGTTGAATAGCTTGATAGATTTCCTTAGTTCATTGTATGCGCAGGAAAGGAACTGAGTTTTTGCATTTCGTAATTTACATATCACAGCAGCTACTTGGTGCCAGTTACCACAAGTAATAAAATATTTGGCCATCTAAGAAACAGGTCAAATAAATTGGGATTCCTTAAAGGGAAAGTAGGCCAAGTAAATCAGCAGTCCTAACTAACCTGATCAGATGCAGATCCAGGTGTCTTAAGCTCTAAATCTGTTGCCACTTCATTGGAATCTTCACTTTTCTCAATCCTGCTCTCTCCCTGATCTGATGACTTGTTTCTAGAGTCTTGTCTGGTCATACTACCAGGTGGGATTATTGAAGACATATACTGAGCCGATTGCTGTTCAATTAACGTATTGGGAGTCATGTATTGAACAAAAGATGAACAGGGGTTTGGAACAACTGCAGGATTTTGATTGCTGAAGAAAGGATAGGGCTGCAGAGATGGATGCATTGGAACTGGTCCAGCTGGAACCGGAACAGGCATCGGATACGAATATGAAGGTGGATGCATGACCATGGAATGATCCATCCCGGCCCATGGATACATAGTCCTTACTCTTTGTTGATATTGGGCATTAAGGCTCTCAATATCAGATTTAAGAGATGCCTTCTCTTCTCTAAGATCATTCTTCTCCTGGGTCAACTGCTTGAGGAAAAAGAAAAAATAAGAACTTCTATGGCTATGAAATGAGAGAGAAGAACATTACTTTCAGAAAGTGTCAAGAGATCACCTCACGGCTTTCATCAGTAAGTGCAGCATACTCAGATTTTAGTCTGCTGACCTGAGCAGTCAAATCCTTTAGCATTTGAACGGTATCACTAAGGATGGATGCTTTGTCATTTTTAGGCCTATCAGGATCTGTGTATCAAATCTTTGAATGAATAAGACATGGTTAAACCTATTTTTCCGTAAAGCCTATCTGTTTTATCCTAAAAGAATGTATATATATAGATTGTGCACAAAAACTAACTCTAAGGGGTCGTTTGATTACCGGGATAAGAATATTAATCCCGGTATAAAATTTGGGGCTTATAGTATCCCATGTTTGGTTGTGGGTATTAGCTAATACTCATATAGATTTTATACAAAAATGGTGGTATTAGCTATCCCGTATAAGAGGTGGAATAGATAATCTCATGAGATATCCCAAAATTTTAATCCCATGGGATATCCCACAACTGAAACAAACGACCCCTAAGGGGTCATTTCTTTTTCTTTCTTCCATCAGACTCTAAGGGGTCATTTGGTACTCCATTTAAAGATTGTGTTGGGCATTGTATTAGATATTCCGGTGTTTCGTGCGCCCTTTGGCACTCTGTATTAACAATTGGCGTACTAAAAAACATCATACTCTGTATTATCCAATACCAATGAACAGGTGGTGCTGTTAATATGCAGCATAAGGACTTCAAATGACTTTAACCCCCTTACAATTGAAAGAGAGAAATATAAGGCTAAATTTGAGACAAGAATAAGGTAATCAAATGGCAAAAACATAGTATCTGAACCACATTTTTGCATAATCAACCAAAAGCTTGACTATAATCCTAGTGCTTCTCATTTCATAATTCATGTATTATTAATCCTTCTATTACAATTTAGCATCATATTATCTTATCAGCATACAAAATGAAGCCTACAGTAAATTTAATAAAAACATTGACTCTTCAAATTTCAGGATATGATTAACCCATTCGCAGAATCAAATACAACTCCCGAAATCAAATGCTATCCCTACTCAAAAGAGGCAAGCGCCTATACTGAGTTGATCTGGCAAGATGTATAATTTATGGTAATTTGCACTATCCAATTGTAAACGTAATCTTTAAAACTAAAACATAAAAAAATACAAAAACAAGAAGAACATTAAAGGTCAATGTGCAG